GAGATGGCTCCCCGTGACCTCAAAGCCTACTATGCTTTTAAGATTTATGGTGCGTGCACAACCCCCAGGGCAGGGAGCTTGGGGAGGGCATGGGGTGAGGCTGGGTCTCCAGACGGGGCTGCTCTGCTGCCACAAGTGTCTCCTGTCTGCCACTGGCTCCTCCACACCTCACCCTCGCTCCTTCCGTTCCCGCCATACTCGCCTCCTGGCTGTTACTCAAACCCTCTAAACCATGTCTGCCTCCAGGCCTTTGTCTTTGCTGGGCCCTCTTGCTGCAAAGCCTTTGCCCTGGCCCCTTCTTATCCTTGAAGGCTAGGCTTAATGCTCCCTCCTCAGAGGGGTCTTCCCCAGAGCCCCCTGTCGAAAGTAGCCCTTGTGCCCAGTCCAAGATCCATCCAGGATCTTATTTCTTTCTTGGCACAGAACAAGGCTGGTTAATGGCTTGTTCATTGATCTGTTCCCTTCTTTCTCATGAGACCTGAGGGCAGTGATGTGTCTGTCTTGTCCACCAACTGTACCCTGTGCCTGCCACACAGCAGGAGCTCAATAAATATTTGTTGTGCAGATGAATGAATGAAAAATAGTTACTGCAACAGCTGGCACGTAGTAGGTACTTAGGAAATACTGAATGGATGAATGCTGGTTGAATGACTGAATGGCTGAATGGATGAAAGAACAATCACCACAGTGCCAGGCACATAGTAGGTGCTCAATAAATACTTAGTGAATAAATGCATGTTGAGTGAATGAATGAATGAATGGATGGACTAGTGGAAAACACTTGTTGCAGTGCCTGGCACTAGTAGGTAGCTACTCAATAACTATTTGTGGAATGAATGAATTAGGGCAGTCATCACAGTGCTTGGCAAGTAATATGCGCTCAAAAAATCCTTGTCAAACAGACCCTGGCTAATTCCAAAGCAAGACTCAGATTCCGTCCCAGGGTCCTTGGTGACCTCCCTGTGCCTTGATCTCCCCCTCTGTCAAATGGGATAAGATATGCCTGTGCTGGCCCAGCCTGCCACTGCCCGCCACCCTGCTGTCCCACCCCATAGACTTCAACAACGATGACTATATCTGTGCATGGGATCTGGAGCAGACAGTGACCAGGCTGACGCGGGGGGAGCTCAGCGCCCAGGAGGTGAGCCTGGTGTGCGAGAAGGTGCTGGACGAGGCCGACGGGGACCACGATGGGCGGCTGTCCCTGGAAGACTTCCAGAACATGATCCTGCGGGCGCCCGACTTTCTCAGGTGCCACTCTGGAACCCGGGGTCCCCTTCCACGTGTGGAGACAATTCACGGACTCTGTTTGTGAAAGTTCCTCCATTCACTCATGTGTGACCTGGGAACTCTTCCAACCTTCCTGGTCTCAGTGCCCTCATCTGTAAAATAGTGATGATTAGGGACCCCATAAGGTCCCTGGGTGATGCACACAGTTGTACTCGACTACTAGTCTATAGGTTGGTGGGTCGAACTCACCCAGCAGTGCTGCAGAACAAGGATCTGTTGATCTGCTTCCATAAAAATTACAGCCAAGAAAACCCTGTGGAGCAGTTCTCCTCTGTACACATGGGGTCACTACGAGTCCGAATCAAATCAGTGGCAATAGTTTTTTGGTTTCTTGGGCAAATGGAATGAGAAAAAGGCAATTCCTGTGGGTGGAAGCAGCTTTGTGGTTCTCACTGGCCTGAACAGTTTGCAGTCAAGAGACCGTGCAACTGTACTTGGCATCCCTGAACTCCAGAACTCATGACAGCAGAGGAATCCCTACCACTGATGGGCATCTCCTGTGTGCCCGCCCTGTGCCTTTCCACCACAGCCCTATGAAGGAGGAACTCCTGCGGGAATTCTCTCTGAAGGGGGAAATTCTGCAGAGATGTAAACTGAGAGGGAGAGCCACTTGCTCGGAGTCACACAGCAATTCTGGGGTGGAGCTGTGATGCAAACTCTGATCCAAAAATTGGGCTCTGCCAGTGGGATAGAGAGGGTCTCATCTGGGGCTTCCTAAGGGGTTCATCCCCCATCGCCCCATGCAGCTTTCTGCCTGCCTTGGGCCCCTTGGCAGGAGTGTTGGGGAGGAGCATAAGAGAAGGTCCTTCTGCCTGTGACACTGACTATAGTTCTCTTTGCCTGTAGCACCTTCCACATCCGCATCTGAGACAGGCTGGAGGAGGAGCTGGGCTGCCGAGGGTGGGGTGCCTCCACCCCACAGTGGATTCTGGTCTCTGAGCTCCAGGAATAAACATGTGTCACTGAGTCACACCTGCTGTGAGGACTTGTTTTCACCTTCAACCTGGTGGCCGGGAAGGAGGCTGGATTCTTACCCCTGCCCTTGCTGTGTGACTCTGTGTGTGGACACACCCTCTCTGGTCTGCAATCAACCCGTCTGTGCAAGGAAGGAGCTGGGTGTATGACTTCTAGGTATGGCTCCACTGTGAGGTTTGGAAGTGCCTAGCTTCAGGTCTCTGTGGGCACAGATGTGGCACCAAGATTGGGCTCACATTGTCTTTCCCCCAGGGCCCCTCAAGGCTGGAACCCCACTGCTGAAATCTTAAGTACCCCCTTTTTCCTCAATACACAAGTCCCTACAAGAGACCAAAACCTTTATGCTGATTCATTGTCAGAGGAGGTCTCTGCACAAGTGGTAGAAATGCCATTTCCTGAGATACAAAAAGAACTTGACAGTTATGAAGAACCTATAGAGTACTCTGGTAGCATAGTGCCTAAGGCAATGGACTGCTAACCAGAAGGCTGGCAGTTCAACCCCCCCAGCCACTCCTCAGAAGGAAGATGGGGCAATCTACTTCCATAGTGATACCCCCTCGGAAACCCAAGGAGGGGTCGCTATGAGTCGGGTCCGACTCAACGGCACATAACAACAACAACAATATAGAGTACTTATGACATCCTGCAGGGTTGGCAGAGGAGCAGTCACGCCCAAGGCCACGCTGCAAGTCATTTGCAGCAGCAGGGCTGCAGCCCAGGCCCATCTTACTCCACAGCCCAGACCACTAAACCCAAACCAAACCTGTTGCCCTCAAGGGGACCCTGACTCCTGGCGACCCCTTGTGTTACAGAGGAAAGCTGAACTCCACAGGATTTTCCTGGGAGCTCTGGTGGCATACTGCCTAAGGCATTTGACTGCTAACCAGAAGGCTGGTGGTTCAAACCTACCAGCCACTCCTTGGATGGAAGGTTGGGCAATCTATTTCCATAGTGATACCGCCTCGGAAACCCAAGGAGGGGTCGCTGGTAGCCGGGTTCAACTCGACGGCAGTGCGTTGCGTTTTTAATCTTTATGGAAGCAGATCACCAGGCCTTCCTTCTGCAGCACTGCTGGGTGGGTGTGAGTTGCCACCCTTTGGTTAGTAGTTGAACACAACCATTTGTACTACCCAAGGGACCTCCAAGGTCACTACACCTTGTGAATGTGGGAAGCCCAACACCCTCTCCACCCATGACCACCCTGGGAGACCTGTGTATGGTTCCTGCCAGTCATTTCTGCAACCGAGGCCAGCCCCCAGCGACCCTTCTGGACACCTCCCCTGTGTGCTGTTTCTAGAATGCTCTCTCCCACCCTGACCCTCATTTGTTGAGCACTTATTATCTTAATTTACTAAGTACCTACTGCCTAGTTTCCCAACTCCCTGGGTGGTGCTAACGGTTTGTGCTAGACTAGTAATTTAAAGGGGGGCGGTTCAACCTCCACTCAGCAGTGCCACAGAAGAAAGTCCTGGCTATCTGCTTCCCTAAAGATTACAGCCAAGAAAGCCCTGTGGAGCTCAGTTCTACTCCATAACACATGGAACCACAATTAGCTGCAGTGCACTCGATGACAATGGGTTTGGTTTTGGTTCGTCTGTCTGTTACAAAAGACAAGCAAGTGGCTTTGAGAAACAGGAATTTAGTGTCTCACAGTTTTGGAGGCTAAGCACCCAAATCAGGATCTCAGCTGTGTCCGTTCCTTCTGTGAGCCCTTCTCCTAGTTTCCAGTGGCTACTGCAATCCTTGGCCTGCCTTTGCTGCTTATAGGGGCATCTGCCTCCATATCACACATGCTCTGTGTGTGTGTGTGTGTGTGTGTTTCTCTCTGTCTCTGTCTTCCCTCTTCATAGGACACCACTCAGAAGGGATTAGGGTTAGGACCCACATCATTACAGTCTGACCTCACTAACATCACAAAAGGAAAACTCTCTTTGCTAACAGGGTCACGATTCACAGGTTGGGACTTCAACATATCTTTTTTGGGGACACAATTCAACACTATGATAGGTATCCCAGAGCCCCAGGTTTTATGCAGAGCCTGCCAGCTCAACCAGCAAAGGAGGGACTGCTCTTATCAACAATTTCTCCAAGATGAAGAAACTGAAGCACAGAAAGGCCCAGCAACTCCCCAAAGGTCACACAGCACCATGGTCAGGATTCCCACGAGAGCCCTCCCCATACAACACTGCTGCCTCCTCCCTAAAGGGAAGGGGCTTTTATGTGTCTCTTAATGCCAACATTAACAATGCCCAGAGTACCTACTATGTGCCAAGCACTTGACACACCTCATCTCTTTCACCTGACGGGGACCCTGAGAAGAGGGGTCCATTTACACATGTGGCTCCAGCTGTCAAGGGTTCCTGCCATGTGGTTTTAGACCAGAGAACAGATGACATGCAGAAGAAACTCAGACCGGCAAGGCCTCTTCTCCTTCCTGAGCCTCAGCCTCTGTTGGAAAATGCAGAGAATGGGCTTACCTGGTGGGCCCGTTCAAAAGTATAAATGCATTAATGAACTCAGAGGCCAGGCACACAGTAGGCACCCCACACCATTGCTGCTACGTGACGGTGACGATTAAAATAACTAGGTCATTTGCACTTGCAGAACCAGAACTAAGATACGTCTTTATTTCACTCCCAGGTTCCTGTGGGCTGGAGTGGTGCAGTGGCAGCAAGCAAGGGAGTCCAAAGGCGGGGACCCTGGCACAAGGGTCCCGGAGCCAGATGGACCCTTTTCTAGCAGTATCCAGGGGCAAATGGTGGTGGTGGGCGGTACTCCTCGGGGAGGTAGTCCTCCTGGGGCTCTGCCAAGCCCTTCATCTTCTGCATGGAGACTTGCAGTGATGGGGATCTCCCTACCTCTTGGTGCAGCCCTCCGTCCCCTGGGGAAACTCCGCTCCAGCTGAGTGATCTCAGGACCTCCCTGGAAAGGGCATTTCTGTCTCTGGGGGACGAGTGGGGTGCCTGAGCACCCCCAGAGGGGTGGGTAGAAGGATCTGCATCCTGATGGCTGCTTGCCCCAGCTCCTGAGCCATGGGTTACTGTGGACACCTGGGTGTCCAAGAGCAAGCTCATGGCCTCTAGGTGGGATTTCAGCTGCTTCTGGACCCTCTTGCCCATTTGGGGGAGTGTCTTGAGGTTCTTCCAGAGTTTTTGGCGGGTGTCCCCGAGAGGGGCTTTCTTGGGGCAGGAGGAAGTGGCATTCTCTGGGGATGTTCTGTCCATGTCTGCTGAAGGCTTCCTTTCCTTTGGCCAGTGCAGCAGGGCTGGGTGTGGGGAGGCCTAGAAGGAAGAGAAGGAGCTCTGGTGGTGTAGTGCCTAAGGCATCTGACCACTAACCAGAAGGTTGATGGTTCAAATCCACCAGCCACTCCTCAGAAGGAAGACTGGGCAATCTACTTCTGTAAAGATTTACTGCCAAAGAAACCCAAGGAGGGGTCACTGTGAGCCAGAATCAACTCAAGGGCAGTGAATTTGGTTTGGTTTTTTGGTTTAGAAGGAAGAGAGGAGCCCTGGTGACATAGTCATTAAGTGCTCAGCTGCTAATCAAGAGGTCACCAGTTGGAACCCACCAGCTGGGAGAAAGATGTGGTAGTCTGCTTCCGTAAAGATTTACAGCTTTGGAAACTCTATGGAAGAGTTCTTATGACATAAACTCTATGACTCTGTTCTACAGGGTCACTATGAGGCAGAATTGACTTGACGGCAGTGGGTTCAACAGGTTAGAAGGAGCCAGTGAAACTACAATCAGCTCAGCCCCGCCCCCCCTAAGCCTCTGCATCTGCCCTGGACACCAGGGCCTGAGTCTCCCTGGCTCACTGTGGCTGAGAAATGTCCAGTATAAACTCCCAAAACCGATCCCACGAGCCAACCTTCCCATCTCACTAAACTCCTTCATCTTCTAGGCCAACTCCATTACCGTTGAATGGACTCCAACTCATAGCAACCCCATGTGTTACAGACTAGAGCTGCTCCACAGGGTTTTCCTGGCTGTAGTTTTTGCAGAAGTAGATTGCCAGGCCTTTCTTCCACAGCGCCACTGGGTGAGTTTGAATGGCCAACCAAACTTAAAAACAAAACAAAACAAACCTTACTCACTGCTGTCGAGTTGGTTCAACTCATAGCGACCCCTCCTTGGGTTGCCGAGGTGGTATCACCATAGAAGTAGATTACCCAAGCTTCCTTCTCAGGAGTGGCTGGTGGCTTGGAACCACCAGCCTTCTGGTTAGCAGTCCAATGCCTTAGGCACTGTGCCACCAGAGCTCCTGAATCACTAACCAGGAGTCTGGAAATTGTTTTCTGTAAAGGATCAAGGAGTAAATATTTTCATCTTCATGGGCCAGATGGTCCCTGCCACAACGACTCAGCTCTGCCCTTATAGTGTAAAAGCCACTACAGGTTATCATCTGTAAATGATAAGTGTAGATGTCTTTCAGTAAAACTTTATTTTTAAAAAAGAAAACCAATTGCCGTCAAATCAAGTCTGACTCGTGGTGACCCACGTGTGTCCCGGCTGAACTCTGCTCTGAGAGTTTTCAGTGGCTGTAATCTTACAGAAGCAGGTTACCAGGGCTTTCTTCTTCTATTTTTTAAATTTTGATTTGGGTGAAGATTTACAGAGCAAATTCACTTTCCATACAGCAGTTCACATACACTTTGTCTCATGACATTGACCACAGTTTACCACAACGCAACAGCTCCCCTCCCACTTCCTCCCCATAGTTACCTCTTCCCAGTGTCCATCCCTCCATGCACTCCTGCCCCCTGAGTTGTCTCCCTGTGCATAAACAGCCCTTCTTTCTCCCACGATTGTTCTCTGCAAGGAGTGTATATACCTCAGGTAAATGTTCAACTCATATGCCTGTCTTTTGTTTGCCAGGCCTTTCTTCTGAGGTGCCTCTGGAAGGACCTGTTGGTTAGCAACTGAGTGAATTAGCTGTTCGGACCACCAGGGCTGCCCAAAACTTTACTTACGGACAGGGCAATGTGAATTTCATCCATTTTCACACATCATATAATAATATTTTTCTTTTGATATTTTCAGTCATTCGAAGATGTAAAACCCACACACAGCTCAGGGGTCATGCAAAACCAGGTAGTGGGCTAGATGCAGTCTGTGGGTTTGCAGATCTCTGATCCTCACAGTTGTTCAGGGAAAATACTTAGGTGTTTATGGCACTGCTATCAATGCCCCAAGCATATTCCCTTGCTCTGACCATTTCTAATGGCCCAGGGTCGTCTTTGGATACCAGCATTCACTCTGTCCCCACAGATGGAGCAGAGGTGCTCAAACCAAACCAAACTGCGAGCTCTGCTGGTGAAGTGCCTAAGGCATTTGACTGCTAACCAGAAGGCCGGCAGTTCAAATTCACCAGCCGCTCCTCGGAAGGAAGGTTGGGCAATCTACTTCCATAGTGATCCTCCTGGGATGGAGCAGAGGTGCTAGAAAATTAAAATCTCCCAGGAATGGTATTCGGCCAGGGACTCATGAAGTGGGTAGGTAAATACCCCAGCTCCCTCCCCCAAGGATGACTGAGGAACAGGCTGTAGGAAGTCTCCAGGTATTCCCCAGAGGAACACACACTCAGTTGTCCACAAGAGTACCCTGTTCATTAACCACCATTCATTGGAAGGCTCTCTCTCCTGTTTTACTTTCTGGCTCCCCTAGTGGTGTTTCTGGGAATCGCCTCTCAAATAAAAAACGTGCCACAGGAGAAAGATGAGGCAGTCGGCTTCTGTAAAGACCACAGCCTTGGAAACCCTATGAGGCAGTTTATTCTGTCCTATAGTGTCTGCATGAGTCAGAATTGACTTGATGGCAATGAGTTGTTTTTTTTTTTTTTTTTTACTAATCTAAAGGTTGGCAGTTTGAACCACCCAGTGGCAATCTGCTTCTGTTAAGATGACAGCCAAGGAGTGGTGCGACTATGTAACACATAGGGTCACTCTCAGTTGGAATCGACTCTGTGACAACCAACAGCAACTGCTTCCAGGGGACACAAACCACAAGAATGTCCCTCTTCCTCTCACCCTCCATCTCCAAGCCATTCGTAAGTCCGCTTCGAAAACATGTCCACAATATCCACTTTTCTCTCCAGCCCCAGAGTGCCCACCTTGGTCTAGGCCCCCACCGTCTCCTCCACCCGGACACTGCTCCTGCCTCCTCCCTGACACCTTGGTTCCTGCCCCCAGCAGCCCTCTCTGCCACTGAGAACATTTAACACCGTCAGTCTGGTCACACTCAAGCTCTCCTCTGGCTGCCCAGCACACATGGGCTAGAATCCCAGCTTCTCACTCAGCCTGAAGCCGCCTGCATCAACCCTCCTGACCTCACCCCTCCTGACCTCGCCCCTCACCTTCCAACAACCTCTCTCTCCCTCCACCTCATCTACACACTGGCTTTTATTCTTCTTCAGCTCCTCTCACACACTGAGTCTCAGGACCTCTGCACACGCTGTTCCCTCTGCCTGGAATACTTCCCCTGTGTCTGTGCATGTGGCTGTCTCCTCCTTACCCTGCACATCCCAGTTCAATGCCACCTCCTCCAGGAGGCCTTCCCTGATGCACCCACCTACACACCCATTCGTTCCCACCATCATCAGAAGTCCCCTGCCATGCGCAGCCCTGAGAGGCTTTGGAACATTCTTCGGTTCATCCGTTCAACTCATCTACTCAGCAGATTTCACTAAAGGAGCACCTTCGATGTTTCAGGTCCTTTCTGAGGAAAGCAGCAGTGAACAAGTCAGATGCATGCCCAGCCCTCCGGAAGCTCCCAGTATGAGGGGGGAGGTAGACAAGAAACCCAGAAATAAGCAAGATCTTTCTAGACTGCAGGAAGAGTTCTGCAACAAATAAATACAGTGATGTGACCCGAACAGGAGGGCTACTTTAGAGCCCCCAGTTAGAGGAGACACATGAAGGGAAAACTGAAGGGAAATGAAAAAACTCTAGGAGCAGAGCACACACAGTGCATGCAAAGGCCCTGAGGTGGGCTTGATGTGTCCAAATAACAGGATGGTGGAGGTGCTGTAGCTGGGTGAGTGATGGGGAGAGACAGGAGCTTAGGCTGCAGTTTGGATTTTAAGCTCACGGAATGTCTTGGGAATCTGTGGAAGCTGACAAGCACCAAGCTACAGGATCCTACCCTCGTTCTAGAGGAGCCTCCGACAGCAGCCGTTGGCCCCTCTAATCCTTGCCCCTTTCACCGGCCAGAGGTGCGAGTCCCACCCCCTCCACACACTTATACCTTCCCAGGTGCAGATCTCAGACAAGGGGAGAGCCCCTGGTGCTCACTGGGGTCATGGACGAGGCTGGCGGCTTCCTCGGCCAACGCACTGGAGTAAAGGAATAGATCCTCATAGTCCACGTTTGCTGGATCCTCCTGCAGGGCAGAGGGGGCCTGGAGCTCAGCTCCCATGGGGGAAGGGGCAGGACCACGATCCCGGACAAACCCCGGGAGGCTCACAAAGCGTGGAAGAAGGTATGCCCCACCTACTGGGCCTTATAAACAACGTAAGAGGGGTCAGGCCCCACCCACTGGGCCTTATTAGAAAGTATGTCCCTCTGTTGCTGGTCCGATAGAGCCTGGTGGAACCTCTGAGACTATGGCCCCTAGCTGCCCTTCAGGTCTGGAATTGAACCCACACCTGTGGCTTCCAGCCAAACAAAAGACAGGCATATGAGTTGCACATTTACCTGAGGTAGATACACTCCTTGAAGAGAACAATCATGGGAGAAAAAAGGGTTGTATATGCACAGGGAGACACCTCAGGGGGCAAGAGTGCATGGAAGGATGAACACAGGGAAGAGGTAACTATCAGAAGGAAGTGGGAGGGGAGCTGTTGCATTGTGGTAAAGTGTAGTCAATGTCATGAGACAAAGTGTATGTGAACTGCTATATGGAAAGTGAATTTCCTCTGTAAATTTT